CTCTAATCATCGACTAACATTGGGAAACAGGGATGATGGATCAGCTGGCATCCATTGGCGTCGAGTTTAACCACCTCGCCCTCGAACGCTGCGTGCAGCAGTCCAATTCGTTTTACAGAGCCCAAATCAAGGACAAGAGCATCAAGTGGGCAATGGAGCCCGTCTACGGCCAGAACCACCCACTCCGGCCTTGGGGTCTCGGTTCTATTCAGAAGACATCGAACCTTCTCTACACCTTGGCCGGAAAGATCATTCGCTCGCCTGGCTTGTACAAACAAGTCAATGCTCATACGGATGCTCGAACCGCTACTTTCCTTACGGACACGAACGAGCGCATCCATTCATCGGTCCGCATCCGTCTGGCTTGCAAGGGCCTGGGGTTGAATGACCTTGGAGAGTGGGACAACCCGGCTATGAAGAAGAATTGGCGGCTTGTCTACTCGAATGCGGCTTATGAAGACCCGGTCCCGCACCATCCAGTCTGGGAACCTGAGTCGGATCAGCAAGAGTGTATGAAGCATCCTGCCGACGCCGACTCTGATGGTCGCTGGGTTTGGGAGTACTGCGGCCCTAAGGAGAATGCTCCCACAAGTCCCAACGGGAGGACCTTGGTCGAGGAGCCCCTGGGGCCGTACGAGCGTCACCTGTTGAAGTTGACCGGCGGTGACCCCAATGTGTATCAGTATGTGGCATCAAAGGAGGGCACTAAGCGCGCTCTCGAAGCAGAGAGCAGCTAGTGCTAGGTGTTGTAGCATGGCACGGCGCTGAGATACCCCCCTTCCCTCGTAGCATAGCTTTGGCGTTTGGCTGTTTTCGAAATTTGGTATTAAATTAATAGATTGGCATTGTATTCTCCGTCCTCTGTTGTCAGCTCAAGCTCGTCCTCGCTCCTACTATCACTACAAGTACCTGACAACTATTCTTCAAAAAATCTACAACACTCACGTCTCTGCTTTTGTCAGTAAAGTGGTCTTATAGAAACACGCGACTCTTATCCGATGGCACTGCCCGCTTCCGACGCCAATCTCCGACCGGGAAAGTCTTGTTGCCCAGATATCATGCGATGCTGACCAAGCCGCGGAAGGGGATCCCCACCCATCTTCAGCCCCCAAATGCCCGATGATCCGAGAACGAGCACGATGTCGAGGAACCAGGGTTGTCCATCCAGGGAAAACATATTTCCCAAATGGGAAATTTTACAACTACGGTTACGAGAACGACAAGTACAACTATGTTCACCGCAGCGGCTATCACTATTCTTACAGTACTGAACTAACTGGTCAGTCCACTCATCTCCGGGCCATGTCCACGATGTCTTTGGCTGATTAGAGGTTTTAGGGTTTTCGGTCCCGAGCTATATGCCGTCCAGCAAGTGTATATGTAGAACATAATCTATTTGGGGGACGTTCATTGGAATAAGCTTATTGCTTAAATTTGGGACGGGCCCAGTTCGTCATGTAACGTGGATTGTAGACTCAACCCTGCCGCCAACTTCGCCCTCTTCGTATTCATCCGGTTACGGAGACAGGGGGAGCAAGAACTCTTTCCAAAAAATCACAAGAAAAAGCGACATGGCTGATGTAGTAAGGGGAGAAGACGCTAGGAACAAGCAAGTTGGCATGTTTGGTGACATTATCTCATGAGGTGGGGTCAGCCGGGGCTGGAGGTCCCCACTGGGTTTGTAAGTCTACCGCGCGCGTCGGCTCTTTTATTTCACCACCTTTTCTAGTGTAAACACTACTCGTGATGACGATGGCTTACCAAGTCTTGAGGTTGTCACGATTTGGGTCGAGCCAGAACATGGCAGGTTTTGCGCCCTCGAAGGTAGCATTGCTAGATGATTTTGAATTATTCAGCAGAGGAGTGGCATGAATAGACATGTCGTGTGAAGATCAATACTGTTGACCGGGCCGTAGTCTCGTTTTGCCTTTCACGGCAAGATGATCCCAAGCAATGGAGCTGATGTTCGACTTGAGTATATAGGAGATTAGCATCCCTCGTAGTATGACCTCTGATCAGACCATCATCCTCACTTTCCTCAGCTTTCATCCAGCACTTTACTTCTGCTTCTACACACCTCACTCCTCGTCTTTAACTTACACCAACCCCCCCTCACCATGATGATCGGCTCAACTCTGCTGGCCGCCACCAGCCTCGCCACCATGGCAGCAGCATTTGACACAACTTTCGGCTTCAACGGCGCCCCTATCATCGAAACCCGCACCCTCGACGAGATCCACCAAGCCGCCCTCGGCGAGGGCGGCATCGTGACGGCCTGGCACGGAGGTGACGAGACCAACCAACAAGACGGCCTGAAGAAGGCCTTTGAGACCCGGTTCCCCGGCATGACGCTCAATATCAACGTCGACGTCTCCAAGTTCCACGACGGGAATATCGACCGCCAGCTCGCGCTCTCCGCCCCCGGCAGACCGGGCGCGCTGTACGTCGACACGGCGATCCTGCAGACCTTGCACGATTACCCGCGCTGGGACCTCGAGGGCGCGCTGCTGCACTACCAGCCCGTCAACTTTGACAAGATCCACCCGTCGTTCCGGGACGTTCGCGGTGCGTGGTACGGGGTTTCGATTTTTGCGTGGACGTTTATCTGGAATACGGACCGGGAAGGGGATGGGCCTAGGGAGTTTGCGGATTTCTTGGAGCCTAGGTTTAAGGATCGGCTTGTTCTTACGTATCCTAATGATGATGACGCGGTGCTGTACGCGTTTGATCTGATGTGAGTTGACAAGACTTCCGAAGGGGGGGTTTTTCCCTCCTACCAGAACCAAAAAAGCGTTCCTATCCAAGCAGACCACAGCTGACAGCAAGCTCACCCCTTCAACAGCATGCAGCATTTCGGCTACGCATGGTTCGAGAAGCTCCTCGCCCAGAACCCGCGCTGGGTCCGCGGCACCGGCACGCCCGTCACTCTCTTAACTTCGCCCAATACCACCCTCTCCGCCACCTTCACCGCGGGCATCGGCCTCGCTCCCCCGGCGCCGCTGAACGTGTCCATACCCACTAATGGCACCTTTGTGACATGGGCGCAGAGAGCGGCTATCTTCAGGGACGCGCCGCATCCGGAGGGCGCGAAGTTGCTTCACAACTTTATGCTGAGCGACGAGTACCAGTCTACGACGGCGATGGCGGGGTCATGGAGTGTGAGGAAGGATGTGGCGCCGCCGGCGGGGTATCCCGGGATTATGGATGTCGAGACGACGAATCCGGTTGAGTTTGAGAGGTTTATGGGGGACCGGGTGCGTGTTGAGCGGTTGAAGTTGTTTTTTGAGGATAAGATTGGGACGGCGCAGGGGTTGAGTCCTCTTATTGATGATTTGTGAGGGCTTGAAGTGAGGTTTTGGTGTAAGCTGTGGTTTATGGACTACATGTGATGGACGGAGTCGAAAAGATGCGTGTACGGGTGTTGGCGAGAATTGGCTTTCAAACAATGGCTTCGATTCAATACTGTTATCAATTTTGTCGACGTCGGCGAGACTTAGACAGTTGCAATGTTCAAGACGTGGCAGACAATCCTGGTCAATGTGGCAGGATTTGCATCTATGTGTCTCCAATTTCTCACAACATGGGTTCTGCGATGTAATTTCGTGACTCTGGCACTTTTGCCGGTAGTCCAAGACAGCTTTCTGTTTGTTCTCGAGTCCCATGGCCGTTGCCTCGATAGAATATTCATAGAAACAAAGTCTAGTGTCCTCCATTTCTCGATTACTCCAAAGCCGGCGGAGTTCCGCTACCGAACTCGCAGGGTACACCCTTGCCCGTATATGCTGCAGCCCGAAATAAGCGGGACGGGTCCTCCCGCGTGGTTCATCCCGTCGAGTCCAAGTTGCATCGAAGGATTAGCTGAATCAGTGCCCACTCAGGAGAGTCCCCACGATGACGGGCTCCTAGGGACGAGACTGGAAGGCGGACTTGTCTAGTAGAGTGTACCAAGACAGTCCTTACTAAGAAGTCAGTCGGAATTCCATTAGTCTAGGCGTCAACTTTTGGTTCAATGTCTGTCTGCTTCATAGAATGGAGTCGATGGTTTTGTAATGGCAGCTAGCAGCCTCAAATCTCGAGAGCAGGATTTGTATATAACCTCAGCTTCGGGCGGTTGTAGTACCTACCATCCAGCCCTTAGCCAACCAGTTCAAGCAAACTTCCTATTGCCCATCATCAACTCCTCCATCTCTCACAAACGACTATCGAACAAACCTGCTCCTCCACCACCCAAAATGTACACCCCGTCCACCCTCACCCTCATCGCAGCAACAGCAGCCCTCCATCTGGCAACCCCCGTCTCAGCAAACTACGAATCCGGCAAAGCAGTGCAGATCAACTTCTACTCCAACTCCGGCTGCTCCGCCTACACCAGCGAGACGGCGGCGTGGTGGACCCGCTCCCCGCGCGCAGCCGAGTACGTCAACGGCGGCAGCGCGGGCGACTGCCTCTCGCTCGGCATGCCGGGCGCCAGCGGGAGTCTCAATGTCGCCGGCGTGTGGAGGGGCAACGGGGCCCAGACGGGCGGCGGGTGCGATTTGTATGACGGATACAACTGCGGCGGCGCCAAGGGGCGCATTGGGTTTAATAGCGGCTCCGGAGGCTGTGTTGCTTCTAGGAGCTCGAATGGATTGTTGTGGAAGAGCGCTTACTGCGGTGCCGCATAAGTGTAGCGGAGGGGGGAAAGGGGGAAGGTTTGAAGGCTGCTGCGTCTTGCTTGGGTCCCATCAGATGTTGAGATATTGGTCGGAAATGCTCTATTGATCATGGAAACGTATCAAGACTTGCTCACAGGCTTATGTTGATGAAATATGGAGTGATCTTTGGACATACCACGAATGATTCATGGCAAGGACAATATCTGAAGCAAGTAATCATTAGATCCATAAAAGCCGCGTACATTTTGAAGCCGTTCCTGTCCCTTCGACCACGAATTCCGAATTTCTAGAAATGCATAATGAACACCTGCCGAGAAGACCATTGCTTGCGAGAAAACTGTCTTCTCATGGCCTCGCCGGGACGACGCCCTCTCGCCCATCTACGCCCGTCCACTCCTGAAGCGCATCAAACAGCCTCCCCCATTTCCCACCAGACCACTCATTCCTCAACGCATCCCACTCAGGCAAACACCCCTTCATGAACTGCAACCAGCCGCCAACGATAAAGTCCGCATACACGGGGCTCTCGCGCCCGTCCATAAAGGGACCCGCTCCCCCGGCAGGAAAACAGGGACCGAGCTTCGCGTCCAAGTTCGTCTCGAAATCCGCTAGCATCTTCTTCCTTACCTCCGAGCCGGGTGGAATCTCGAGGTCCTCCCACTTCTTGCCCGGAAACCGGTCCAGGAACGACTTCCTGTCGGCCTCGACGGTGCGCGGGTCGAGGGGCATGTAGAAGCCGCCGAGCGGGGCGCCATATTGGCTGAAGACTTGGTCTACGAGGGCGTTGAAGACGCGGTGTAGGGATACCGTGCTGCTGCCGTTTCCTCCGTCCTGGAAGAGTTGGTCTTTCTTGCCGGCGAGGTAGTTTCTCTGTAGGTGCAGCGCGATGTCGAATGAGTCGCCCACTATCTCCTCATTCTTCTCTCCTGAGCTGGAGGAAGAGACGAGGGGGTCGCGGATGATGGGCAGGGTGGGGAAGTCGGTGCCGTCGTCGTGCTTGCGGTTGGCGGGGAGCTGGAGCGAGTTGCGCGTCTCGGCGACGGCGTTGAGAGGGACCCAGGTTGTGCGGTAGGGGACCTTTGCGAAGTTGAGCGCGAAGCTGTAGAATGTCAGTCTTGTGGTCTGAAGTCAATTTTCACCCCAAGCCTCCCGAGAATGAGATGTGGCAAAGGAGGGAGGGTGTTATACGTACCGCGTCTTCCACGGGTTCGGCGCCATTGGGTAGGCTTTCGGGTCGAGGATGATATCGTAGAAGGTGATTGTGGGCTTGTTAGAGGCGTCCATGTTGGGCGAAACTGTACTGGAGTGCTGATTGTCAAATTGTGTTGATGTGGCGTTCATGTGATTCTCGATGTAGGCTATGGAGCAATGGGGGTAGGTAGACGTCAAGAATGAAGAGAAGTCAATGGCTATTTCTACTTTCCACGATGAGATCAGATACAGTACACACTACTAGCGTTGGAATGTTCTTCTGTCCACAAGGCAGAAGAACCATCCGACGGGTGATCTGCACCTGGAATTGCATAGCCGCGATGAATCATATGCTATACAGGGCCCTAGCGGCCGCGACGGCGTGCCCCGATAGGCTAAGCCCCGGTGCCCCGCTCGCAATTGTGAGACAAAATAAAGCCACGGCCCGCGATGTGGGGCAGTGTATCCGGAGATCAATCGGGCAAGCTAATGCTGTAAGACGGAGTGAATTATGGGGCTGCCGGTGCTTTTCCCCTGCGTCAGGCAAATCCTTCCCGGAGGTGAGGGGATTACTGATCCCGGTCTGGGAAATATATGTACATACTACGGCGTTTTGCTTAATTCGGCAAGATGAGAGTCTGACGTTGCAGCTGGCTTGTTGACTCAACGGTACCGTGCACTTTTGCACGTGTGTCCGCATTTCTCAGAGTAACCGGTCTCAGTTTACGTCGAGTTAGCGATGGCATGTAATGTTCAGCGAAGGTCTCGGTGAAGGATCCAGAATTCAAAGATTGCTTCAGCAGAAACAATAGATCACTGATCATGAGGGGAGAGCACGCTTTATTCTTGGCTCGGCGAGGCACGCACACATGTGCACACTACTCTTGGATGATGAAGGCAGCTAGCTGCAATGCCAATTGTATGTATTCACCTTTGGTTCACACCTGAGAGCTGAGCGCGGATTTGTCTTGTTCCAGAATCATGGCGTTAGGATACCCGAGGGAACGAGCGGCTTCTGTTGCCTCCTCGAGTATTGGCACAGGAGATGACTGCTCGCCCTTCCCGCAGGAGTATCATTCGCCTTCAAGCCATCATTATCAACAATTACAAAAGTTGCGCCTGCCCTAACGAGCAATTCATCGGCCTCCTCCCGGCAGTTCTGACCTGTGACGTGCAGAGCTGTCCAGCCATGGAATCCTCTCCGATCCAGCCGCGCACCGCCGCGAATCAACTCCGCGATAGCCTCAGCATGGCCGTATCTCGTCGCAACCATGAGCGGCGTCCACCCAAGACGGCTCTCCACGTCCGGGTTCGCGGATACAGCCAACAGGATCCGGATGCAATCACTTACGCAGCCACGGCAGGCCGCCACGTGCAGTGCCGCTTCACCCTGCACGTCGAACTCGTCGGGAGGTGCGCCGAGCTTGAGGAGGGACTCAATTATCTCATGGAAGCAGTACTTTGTCAACCGGCGGAGGTAGGATGGCGGTTCGACTTGCTTCTTTGGACACTCTCGGAGCTCTGATGCGATGAGCTTGAGGATGGGGTGGAGACCGAAGGCTGCGTACGTGCGGCTTGCTAGGCCCAAGTTGCAGAGGTCGTGCTTTCTTAGATGCTATGGCGTGTTAGTTGTTTTGGTATCATGGTTCAGTAATTTTGAGGATTGGATATTGACGTGAGGACCTTTAGTATACCGTGAAGAATCTCTGGCGGAAGACCGTCAGGCGAGCACACGCTCATCTTCAAAGACTATCATGATCGGTATCACTCCTGGCTTATTAATGACAGTGCTCGTTGTATGATGGAAGATCGATGCATACAAGTATCTAGCCTCAGTGCTGTGTGCTCATCCTCACCGTAATTGATAATCAGCAAGCTTTGCGCTATAGAAAGACAAACCTACAGCGCTAGATAATGAGGATGTGCAGTTTGAATTAACGACTTTAGTCTGGCCTGACTGGCTTTCGGCAGTCCGCGGGATGTTATTGAAAGGGTTGCCGGGCTGATGTAGTACAAAGCCATCAATTCTATCTTCAAACACACACTTCATCAAACTCCGACTAATCAACTACAACTAGGTTCAGGGACGCTCAGTTATGTCGGAGGCACGTGAAGCGCTTGGAATGTAATTTCAAGAGTCTAGTGACTCCTCTTCCGCACTGGTGTCATAAATGGAAACTTACCACGCAAGTTTCTCGGGGAGCACCGTCCCCGCCCCCGCCGTTCGGGGGCAGCGGCGGCCATTCTTAGATGTCCAGTCGGCCCCACTAGCGCAGCACCTAACCCCTGCTAAGGTTGGGTAGCATTGAGAACGCTGACCCGAGAGGCAGGTGTGCAAGGAAAGTCGATTGGCCAATAAGACCAGTGAAATAGGACGAACCTCCAGCTTCACTCATTCTTCAAAGCCAGCGCGACGCTTGAGTAACGAATTCAAGTGCGCCTTACTTATCCCAATTTCTGGAACTTTGCATAAGGAAATCGAGATGAGCGCTTATTTAGTCTCGTGGGGCAGGCCTTTTGTTTGCCTGCAGCTTGAGTGGCGCTGTGCGGACAGAAGTGCAGCCGCATCCAGCCTTCGCGACTTGCAACTGCTGTTATGGACTGTGTTGCCATCCTGAACAACCACATACGACCATACTCATTGGAAAACTCGGGATCCCGTCCGCTCTCCCATAGATAAGCCAATGAGGGCCGGATTAGTAGTTGGGTCGGTGACGACCAGCGAATACCTGGTGTTGTATGTTTTTGAAGTTTTGGTGGGCTAAAGTGGATTCACGATGTCTTCCTTTGGGTTGCGGCCGGGCTCACTAGTACGTGGGACGTTGTTGAGCCGCAAATATGGACACTTGGTTATAGCCGAAACTGCAGAAACCTTAAACGTCCGCGAGCGGCCTGCAGCATTGCCCCGTTCATCTATCAGATACGGGTGTGAGATGAACTCTAACTTTGCACAGATACTTGGGCACCGTATCTTGACCCGCTACAACGTCGCTCGAGGCGGTACAGAATGATCCGAGTTCTGAATCATGATAAGAGGGGCTTAATACTACAAGTAACTTGTATATCAGTGGACGAAGATACACAGTTACACGGGTATGAGGAGATCAACACTACACTCAACCCCTTGCAACCCTAGACTACCCCATAGGACAACTATACCCTAAGACTATGAGTGGAACATCATGAGAGCCACATTGTGACCCTCAGTCCCTGTCGGATTTTGCAAGATCGATTGGCCAGCCTGCCGTATTCAGGGCCAGCATGAAGCACCAGAGTCTGGTGATGCTTAACGACGTACAATGACTCGCTTGTCGCCGCGTGGGATGACCCGTTCGTCTCATTGCCAATGACTCGCCAGTACGGAGAAGAATAGCGGATCATGAATCAAAAGTCCATGGGGATTATGATCAACAGCGTGAAGCCAGCATGAGGCCAGAACTCACGACCAGCCAATCTATTAGACTCGACAAGACAAATTAGGGATCGGAGGTACGCGGACACCAACTTATACTTAAGCGGGTAGCTTCCAGGTATAAGTAGTAGAGCTCGAGCTCTAGAGATGTGATAGTAACTACCCGCTAACCACATCGAGTCGATCTTGCAATAATATCATATTCAATCCTTATTCTACCCAGAAATCAGTCATCATGAAGTTCACCCAGGCATTCGTTATTGCTTCCATGTCCCTCGGCGTCATGGCAGGCTGCCGCCACGCTCCCGAAGTCTGCAAGTCGGACGTCGGTCCTATCTCGCGAGGCCTCACCAACGGCTGGGTCTGCGATCTTCCCGAAGACTTGCCCTGCCAGACTACTTGTGAGATCACTGGGGAGAGGCAGCGATCTGAGCCCGGCACCGTTGGTATGGAGACAATGAAGTGCTGCAAGCCTCAGCCCGGCTGTGAGTCTCCCTCGGTCTCATACAGAACCATGAACGTCAATACTAACAAGTATACCGTAGGTTAAGCACATTTCCGACGCCATAGGTGTTTCGCAAGCATAGTGAACAGCGCGATCGTTTTCAGGGCAGAATGCATCGGACTGCGGCCGCACTGAATCTCGATGTGTTGGGAATGAAGACAGTCATACGTCGCAGATGATCTCAGTGTCATGGTGGACGAGGAGGCTAGTAAGGCATGAGTTGTGGGAGTATACAAAGGGGGCTATAGGGGGCCTTCCTACAGGCCGATGAGAAGTAGAGGAATATCATAAGCCAAAAGGCTTTGTAAGCATAGCGGGCATTTGAAATTCAGTACTTGGAAACTTGTCTCCTTCTAAACTCTTCATTCTCTGTTACCTCCTTTCCAAGTAAGCATGTGCCGCACCCAAACAGTAGACCCGAATTTCAACCTGTAGTAACCCCGCTCCCTGCTCTTTGAGCATTAAGTCAAGATTCCCGAACTGACCTTGGATCTGAAGGACTTTTTCGTCGATAGCCGTGACAATCAGCGATTCAACTACCGAATTCACGCCTGTGGCTAGGCGTAAGATTCTCGTTGATGTCCATGACTGGATCCAGAAAGCCTCCCACAACATGCACGACTGCATCAACCTGCTCTTCAAGCTCAGCAGAAATTTTCTCAGAGAGCTCATATTTTGTTATGAAAGGCTCAGCCGGGCGACGCTAGGTCCTCAACGGCCTCGGACGGGGCTTCGTCGACAACAGCATTCTTGATCAGCGCATCTTGAGGGAAGAGAGCAGCGAGATCACAAACCCTGATCTGAAGAGAAGAAAGCATGACTGAACCTTCGATTTGGCCAGTGTGGGCTTCGATTCCGTGTTGTGCTGTGTCGGACCATGCAGGACCTGCCTTAGTCTCGGTCCAGAGGCGGTAAAGGCCGGGTCTCATTCGTCATCCCCATCGCGCTGAAGTGGTATCCTGCAACGCTGTTCTACCCATTCTTGTAGAAGACAGCCCTGGGCCTAGCCTAAGATTTCCTGCATTTCTACGAGACTGCGGAGAACCTGACAGGTACCGGTACTACGGTTCAGCAGCCAGAAGGCCCGCTGTACTGGCTTCAATTGATAGACAAGAACAACTGTAGGATCACGCAACATGTGTCTATGATCCGACTTCACGTTTTTTTGGAGTTAATGAAACTCGTTCGATAGAAGATATCAAGCCGCGCAACCGTTGCGCAAGGAGCCAGTAAACTTCTGTGTAATGATGCGTATTTCACTTCCAGACACCCGGTCCGGGCATTGAAGATGATTCAGAAGCTAGGGAAAGGCAAGTCGAAGACAGCGACATCAGTACCAACGGGGAGGTTGCGGTGTTGCAGGAACCAATCAGGCGACTTCTCCGCGATTCCGGACAAGCAAATACGACCTACCTTTGTATAAAAAGAAAGCGCCCCTAAAGACTGCGCTCGTTGATCAATTCGTTTTCGTTGACACTTGGTCTTCGCGATAACAGGTCTGCAAAAGACTACGACAGGATCTCCTTCGGGCAACAAGATGCATCCGTCTCATCGCGATCGGAGCGGCGGAGGTATTCATCAAGCCAGTCAAGAAACGACTACAGTAGCAGGACTCCCAGCTGAACAACCATCATCCGCCAAGGACAGGACTGGATTCGGTACAACGCTGAATCGGGCTCTGTGCCATGATTCCGTGCGAGATTTCTTGGTGACAGGTTACAGCCGCGTGCAAGATTTCTTAGTAAACGGCGATGACACGTATACCACTAAATCCTGGTACGAGGGACATGTAGCGCAGTTGCTCGATATCGTTACGTTGTTAAGCGAGGTCTCAACTAAGACGAGTCTGGTTGAATCCGATGTACTGGCGCCCAAGCTGTAACTGCCATCCTACTAATATTCTCATGCGACATCGCAACGCCATACTGATTTCTTAATCGCGTAGGCAATCTATAAGCAACTACGAGCAATCCCCGGCGAAGGCAGCCCCGAAAGGGCCTGATTCCCCGGCCGAAAATGGGTCTTGGACAGACGAATCGTCGATGCAAGCGCTGAGCTTTGTTAACGGAAGATACGCAGTGAAGGCTAGCCAGCCTTCATGCTCAAGCCCAAGCTCAAGCTCTGATGCGGACTCTATCTTTGATGACCCGTCCGATATGACGTCACGAGTAGCACAACCGTCCCGGAAGGGCTGTGATATGACGGGCTCCCATAAAGCTGGTTCCTCGGAAGGGGATTCCAGAAAGTTTTCTCAAGAGGTTTCCGGAGGAGAATCTCGGCGAGAGGTGAAAGAAGAGATTGGCAACGACAATCATACCTTGGAATTGTCTATTCGAAGAGTGTTAAGCGCCAGACAATCCTACGCCGACGCCGTGGTGGCCGCTTTTCAACGTCGGCTGGAAAGTTTCACAACGCACGACGGCGACTATTCGGAGGCATCATTGCTATTTGCCGGCGTTTTCCGCTCTTTGGGTAATGAAGCAGAAGACGAGGCTGTCGATGCAGGGAGCTCATCGGCGAGAAAGCAAGCGAAAGCAAAAGCGGCAAAAGCGGAAAACTCAATAACAAATGCGGGGTCGACCGTCTCTTCTCACGCATCGCATGTGGAACGCAAGAGAGAACGGGGCGAAGATGAAGACAACGACCAGAAGAATCCGCCCCCCAAAAAGCCTCGCTCCATAGTGCCGGAGAAACACTGGCTCTGTCCCTACTTCGTGAAGCATCGGATTTCGCAGAAGAAAGCTTGCCGAACGCCGACCACATTCAGATCGTTCAGTGATCTCAAGTGAGTCGGAGTCCTTGCGTGCCGATGAATGAAGATTCGCTGACTACATTAGGACTCATCTACGAGATACGCATTGTACAGGCTCGGGGAATGGAGGCGATCCAAGCCACCCTGAGCTGTACATGTCTGAGCAGCAATATCAAGCCATTGAAGTGAAAGCTGACGAGGCCAGCAAAAAGAGACCCAGACAAGGCACCAAGGCTGCATTTGGAAAACAACTGGGCATATTCCAGGACGTCTGGTGCATTCTGTTCCCGAACTCCGGCTCTGGCCCAAAGTCCCCATGTAAGCCATTGCGGCAATACATGGCCACTCTGTCTTGAGACCTCGGAAGCATCTGACACCTTTCCAGATTGCGAAGACTTCTTTGTTGAGGAGATTGGAATGCTTGCCGACGCAATCTTCCAAACCAAGGCTCAACAAGCTTTCGAACGCGGCGACGTCTCTGACCCGGCCGAATATCGTCCGAACAGGACTGAGTTCAGCGAGATGATGCAACAAGTACATGCCATCATTGCCGACTACGAGCCGGAGACTGTATGTCAATTCCAAGACATCTTCTCATTACTCAGTCTAAGCATGCTTGGTGGTCAACAGCCAGCATTGCCTGGCGGATCTGCTGGCGATGAGCCCCATGCTTCCCGCGCAGTCTCTAATGTGCAAGAACGAAAATCACCACACTCGTCAGAGCGTCCAGCTACTTCGTCTCTCTGTGAAGGTGGAGATTCGCCGCATCCGAGCTCGTTACATCCATCCTCGGATAAGACGTCGCTTCAGTCAGGCTCAGCTGCCGCCGATTTCGCTGTGGGACAGAAGATCGAGTACCAGGGACCTCAACAGGGCATTCAGTCTGTAAGGCTGCCAATACCCACAGATCCAGCCATGCTGCAAACTTTGGACCCCAGAGTACTTCGAGACGAGATTGAGTGGCCACCTCATGGAGTCGACTCTACGCACAGACAACGGGATGCCTCGCAGTCCATGGACTCCTATCATCTACCAGGAGCTCATACAGAGGCCCCTACATCTGATCCAAATACATTTCATTTAGTTCAGGAGTCGGAAACCCCTTTTTTAGATCAGATGATGTGGGGTTCTATGCCCTTTGATGCTGGCTTTGACTTTGACTTGAAGGACGGGAAGCGGGAAGATTCCGCGAGTACTTCGGCGGATTGGGAACAACTGCCATTCTCTCAACCAGAAGCAGATGTCGAGGAGTCATGGCAACCATTCTGCACGTGATAGATACACTTCTATGAAGGCGCAAGTGGATGGGAACAGATTCACGTGATGGTGATATGGAAAATAGAGATAAATGGGGTTCGGCGTCTGATGTACGGGGAAACGGGGAAAATGATGATCTGTAATAGAATAGGAACCGCGAATGGATGGCAAGATCACTTTGAAGTCATACTCAACAACGAGTGCCATGGTAAGATAGATTGCATGGGAGGTGGCAGGGAAAAAGATATCGATGGAAGATGGAAGGTGAAGCACGTTTCCTACCTAGCTAGAAGAGTTATGTATCAAACTTAGAATTTCGCAGAACCGACTGCTATATGGAAGAAAAGACTCTTGTGTTGAGCTTGGAAATAATGACTAGGATTAGTCACCATTCTTCAAGGAATTTAAGTGTGCCCGCAGCCCAACACACACCTTTTTCACGACGGCCCATTAATTAGATCTTACTGCTTGCTTCGACAGCCGAAGAAACTCGAAACAATGTGTTATGGTTGCCGCAGACTCGGCTTCCCGGAACCCTCCCCCCCGCCTGACCCAGTGCACGACCGGGAGGACGAGGAGCCGCTGCCGCAGCCACAAGACTTTGACAGGCCGGCGCCTCGGAAGAAGCTCCAACCGAACCCCAAGACCATCGTTCACTCGGCGCCTAGCCATGACGGCATCCCGGCTGTCGTGGCATACTCAGTCCCCGCAGACACTCCAGAGGATGCCGACCTGACGCCCTTGCGCCCGGCGTACGCCTACGTCTTTTATGACACTTCTCCTGGCGCGCTTGATCCGGGACGCACCGAGGACCTGGCCCGCGCCATATTCGACGGCACCAAAGATAGCCGCAGCTCTGTCGGGCTGCCGGACAGAGTTGAGGTCTTTGCGATGCCCCTACCATCTCTACCCGAGACTGGGAGCCCGTATTCTGCCGAGGACGTGGGGCTTGACCTCGTCCTTTCACAAGAGAGCCCCTGGTATGCCCGTCTCGCCGCACGCGCGTCGCGGGACCCTCAGGACGCACACTGTCTCCAGCACGCCACAGCTTGCATACTGCATCACGAGCGGGAAGTCCAGAATCGTCTGTCCATCGCGGACAGGGCGGAGGCGGTTTCGTGGTACCTCCCAGAAGATTTAAGCGACGCCGACTTCACCCGTCACATTGTGGTTGTCGATAGGCTTGAGGATAAACCCAAGAACCCGCCCGGGCCTACGCGTTGGCAGGAGACGCTCGCCTGGACACATTCCCTTCCAAGCGAGCAAAGAAACCCGGATAAAAATAGGGCGGAGAGAGCCGATAGCAGCCCGTACGGAAGAGGGTTGCTGGTCGACTGGCGGCCTCGCGACCAGAACGAGGGCGACGAGGACGACGAGGACGATGAAGCACAGCCACTCAACTGGGACAAGATCGCGTTTGAAATGCTGGGGAAGGCGGTGTTGATTTCCTCCCGATACGGAGTTAGAACCCTCTATGAGCATTTCCTTCCTGACGGCGTATTCGATCTTGAAAGAGAGAAGGCTCGTGAACGAGGAGCAGATGATGGAGTAGACTTGCCGATGTATACTAGATAGACGCCTTGCTCGCCTTTACCGTGGGGCAGAGTCGCCAGCCTAGAACTTAGTAATTTCGGAAGAGGCGGGCACGCTTCTTCACACTTGACCGGTCGGGAGGCTTTAGAAGTTCAAGGAGAAACACAGGCCTTGGGAGCTTACTCAAACCGTTTGTTTCAGTCTACATACGTTCCACATGCTGCCAAAGTTGACTCGTCAAATATAGATTCTAGACTCATGTATTTATTTGTCTACGGCCGTTCTCTCTTGTCTCTGCATACTTAAAAGGTGTATTTTGCAAAAACGCAGCTATGAGAATAAATGTGTGTAAAATATACACACGTAAGAATCACTCTCGCCAAGGAGCCTTCCCACCATCAACCGCCGGACAAGAAGAACAGCAGCACCGCCGCCTATAAGCGATCCGGTGCACCAATACTGACCGCGACGCCTTGCCCGTTTATGGTCCTAGTGGGATTTCCAGTGGCGCCGAAAATAGACCATCCCGTGCCCCCGGATTCTGGCGCGGGAACCTGGTCTCGGCCGGACTGGCCCAGCCTCCGGCGCCGAAAGCGGCATTAAACCAACTCGGATCGTCCTTGTTGACCCATACCACGGTTACCAATGCGTTGGCGCTCTCAAATTTGCGTCGTAGGTGGCCTTGACCACGTTGCTGTGGCTGGCGGCTGTCTGTTCGATGCAAAAGAGATAATCTTCAATGTACCAAGCGTAGAGAGCGCGGAGTAAAGGGCTGCCCTGGCTGTTCACGGGAGCCACAAACCTTTCGATTCAACGTCCGTAAAACCGGCTATCAAACTCCTAAAGCATCAAGTCGAACCAGTTGGACACCCGTATCCACTTGTTCACACGGTTCTAGTGCCGATATTAAGGACAGGGAGATTGGCGAGGCGCTATTTGTGAATAGAGCTATTATAGACATTACTCCGGGTTTTCAAAGTATATACCACCCCAGGTTGAACACGTGAAGAAGGATAAGGAAGTCTATGAACATAAAGATATTACCAAAGCAAAGTTCAACCGTCAGTGACCTTGTTCGTGCCCTACCACCCCACATCCTCATCGGCTTCCTCTCACAACGAGACCTGCGCCGTATCGTGCCAACATAGTCAAAGTCCTAGTCGCAGATAGAACTGTGGCGATACTATCCTTGTCAAAATTGTCCAGTCGAGTTGGTCATAGATTCTAAGACTCTTCTCCGAGCCTGACAGCCGTGACGACCAACCCCCCGATCACGGAGACCACGGATCCGACACCCGCTACAGCACGTTTCACTGCTGGCAATGTTTGGTATCGGACCAGCAAGGCTTGATGTGGCAGTTCAATGGTGCCATCTTGCTCATCCAGTTCAACAAAGACATCCTGGTAGAGGCCGTACATGTTATTGTAGAAGGCCCATCCTGGCGACGCAGGATCGTTGATGGCTTTTGATAGGGCTTTGTCGAGAGCGGTATTCTGGATCAACGCATCGGTGGGAGGAAGCGCCGTGAGATCATTAACTCTGATCTGATAAGGGAAGTTGTCAGTCTGGGTGAGAAGATATAAGGTGCACAGCGAGAGTAGACTTACCGGGCGCAGTGTAGCGACCCATACCGATGGCTTCCGGAACAAGACGTATTTGTTGAAGAAGAGTCTGCTCTTACTGGTGTTTGCCAAGATCTTATTGCGCATTGTCTCGATTTGCGCTTGCGCGTTCGCGTCCGAGGTGATGGGAATGATGTCTGCAGTGAGGTGTTCCGTTGAAGAGAACATGTAGAGAAGGAGGCATGATTTAGTCATCGTTTCTGGTTGTGGTGTCCGCGTGCGATGTATGTCAGGCAGGCTTGTCTTTGGTTGTGTGCAAGATTCGTCTGCTTTTTCATTTCATGGAGGGCATAAGGGGGCCTTTTAAGTTGACCGAGTGTGCCATGTGAGGGTAACCTACTTTCTATACCTTTGCCATAGCAGAGTGCCAGGCGTAATCGGGACTGCCCGAGTTTTCAACGCGATTCTGGAGATATCGATGAATATCATGGCATGGCAGTTCAAACCTATGTCCGAATTACTCAATATGTCCGAGATTTTACTGATTGGGTCTAGTCTAGGCTCAAGATACATGGATCCCCTCATAACGAATGGAACTCTCAGTTGAACCCAAGATCCGAGCTCCCACTGCCAAGTAAAGTGTTGGCTCTTCTTGATTGGATCTTACATTGGGGAGTACAGGAACACGGATTATAGCCCCGGTGAAATTGTCCCGAGAGACAACAAACAATGGGACACCTTACTCTTTTAGGCGCCAGATGGGAAAATAAGCTCATGCCAAGACTTCTCCTTCAGACGAAGTGTCATGACGTCAAATGAAGCAGGGACTTCGACATTGGCGTTCATCTTTGGTCTCATGAAAGACGATTTTATCTATCCAGTTCTTTGAGACAGCCCAGCAGGTTGACACATGACACATGACACTGGGCGGGCCGTATTCGTACCTCGACGTGGGCAGTGGGGCCAGTGCATCTAAGACGCGCGATATGAGTGGTGAAGATGGCCTTTCCCCCATTTCCGTACATCTACAGAGGAAGAGGATCTTACGCCAAGACGACTCGAAGCCAGGAATGAGCCGAACTGCCAGTACCTATTCGTTGCGCGCCACCAACGCCAGAGGATTGGGGCAGGGCCCGTTGGCGAAAACCCCCCTGAGCAACGCAGAGGCAGAGCAAAACTGAGCAGTCTGTGAGACCAAAGATGAACACTCATCTCTTCAATGATCGAGTAATTGAGTGACCTCATTTCGAATTGTTGATGCCCGTAGCGGCATCTTCTCCAGCGAATTCAATTGCCAGGTCATGGAGTAGTTCTTTGTGATAACCCAGAGGCTCGGTCCAGAAAATACAGACGTCAAGCCAGATAGGGGTGCCCGTTGACGGTCTCAGCCAGTGGCTCCTTATCTGAGTACCTTGTACCTTAGGTACCTTACGGACAAGCTGAGGTCCAGCCCATAGGCCAGTCAACAGTCTTCTCCGCGAATCTGGACAAGCGGTCTTCTCCGCGATTTCAGACAAGTCGAGATGGCTATCATGTTTCCCGCTAATACATAACCAAGGCGATGGTTTGCACTTGACCTGGGGCTCGTCCCTCCGTCGTCATCCCGTGGTCCCATCGCCGCCGACGTTTGAACATATTCAAACATACCTGTCAGCCTGCTTCAATTATTTTACCTCAAAAGAAACGAAGAAAGTCTTCTGAGGCGATAATACTCCTCCCTTGCGTCCTCCTGAAGGCGCGGTAATCCCCGGCAGTGCGAAAGGCAGCAGAACCCCCGATCGAACGCATTTCGGATAACGAAGGGATCCAAGCTGGGGCCCAGAGACCACTCACACCCAGGGACCGTGCAGCGGGAGACGATATGGTACGTTGAACCCAACAAAGGCTCCTTCTTTTGGGGACAATTCACTAGACTCACTTTTGTGCTGCATTAGGATCCATTCCAGAACAATTTGACAGAATTTGTGGGACACTGGGATCCTCTGCGAGACTCCTTACTCAACAATCCGGACACTCGTGGCAGAAGAACCTGCTATCAAGCGCTCAGCAAGGAGCATATCGCGGAGCAAGACGCAGCTTTCGCAGATGCCACCTCGAATCGAAAGGACTGGACCAACAACATCCGGGGAGCAGGCGCCGAGCGCCAACAGCAACCCAGCCCCAATGTGTCGGTTTCTCCGTTTGGAATCCTACATAGTGCGACTACAGAATACATGCTGATACTGCTTTCTAGTCAATCGGCTACAAGGAATGGGCAATTGCAGGCACAGCCGGCTTCCAGAAAACCTGACGACCTGGTCGATATTGGATCTTGGACCGACGAAGCTTCCCGTGCGAGCACGGCTGCGAACTTGGCCCCTAATGACCCTTTCGTAGAGCCGACCCAACAAGAACAGTCCCAAAATGGCAGCAGTAGCAAGGATGATTTGTTTGAAGAAAACTTTGACCAAGATGAGGAGCTTGAGTTGTCTGATGACGATTCGGAAGCTGATATCCAAGGGTTGTCGTCTGCTAAGCCGGAAAACACCACGCTCCATCGTCCAATTCCAAGTATCACGACATACCGCCACGATTCTCCACAGCGGTCATCATTCCACCACGCCTCTCTTCTTACCTTGAGTAATCAGGAAGAATATGAGGCTGACGGCCAAAGAGCATCGTCGGCGGAGGAGAGGACTAGCAACGAAGCTAGAGTGGGCACATCGACGCCAGCTACGAATCCGGCCGCGCTGCCCCAGTACAATGGCGATAGAGATGAGAGTAATGATGGGAATGATGGCGAAAGGGAACCACTAACCGAAACCCTTTGGGAAAATATGTCCGAAAAACACTGGCTCTGTCCCTACGGCGTGAAGTACCCACGCCGGGTCACGAAAGCTTGTCGATTGCCGACTTCATTTAAGAACTTCAGTGCATTGAAGTGAGTGGCCTCCTTGGCTCCTCAAAAAGCTTTAGTTTATCTAACTTAAAATATCAGAGATCATTTACGTGTCAGGCACTGCAAAAGTCCTCCGATCAATGAGAGATCCGAGCTGTACATGTCGAAACAAGACTGGAAAGATATTGAAGAGGACCTCGACATAATTGACAAGAAGAAACCCAGAATGAACACCAAGAATGCTTTCCTAGGGCATCAGAAAAGGATCAGAGCCGTTTGGCGCATCCTATTTCCGAACTCCGGTCTTGGGCCAAAGTCACCTTGTATGTTTCTGTTTACATCTCCTAAGGGTCTGCGCCGGTAGTTGTGCATAACTCATATCCTTTACAGACTGCGAGGATCTCACTCCGGAAGAGCGCGAAACGCTCTTGGACTCCTTTGTCAACCCACTGTCTCGCGAAGCTACTCCACCTAGCAAAAACCTACATCCTGAGAAGGTCGAAGCGCCTCCAACCCCCGACGTCAACTCCCCGCCGCAAGAAGTTATCCGGCTTGGGGAAAAGCAGATTGAAAGCCTTGCACGATTCGTCTTCAGATCCCGGGCGGAAGCAGCTGTCCAGCATGGCGAGGTCCCACGCCAAACTGATTGGCGCGCCAGCGAGAAAGATTTCATTGAAATGGCTTCAGAATTATCCGCAAAAGTTGCAAGCGGTCAGATGGCAATCGAAGATGAAAATACACGAGGACGGGAGCCATCATCACCGTCAAACCTGGCTGAGGTCTTGTCCATCCATGGTCACAAAAGTCCTCAGCGCCCAGGCTCGACTATTTCTGGGACAACATTGAATCAGCCAAGTACGGTTTCCGACGAACCTTCTGGCAATCTCGGACGGAAGCGTGCACATGAGGAGGATCTTCGTAATGTTGATGGGGAAGCGTGGGATAGGGCTGTTGAGGCGAGTATGAGGATCCTGTAGTCCTAAACCAGAGAACGCAGCGTAGCGGGACCAAACCTGGAGTCACTGGGAGGAGGGGAAAGGCATTACCTAGATACGCGGCGCTTAGCGATACGAAAATCTGATTATTCTCTTTTTCCATGGTTGATGGCCAGCCAAGAACGTGAGATGAGATCGTGACTTTCGATCGATCAAGACCTAGGTACCTTAGGCCAACGTAGTACTTGCCGAAGCGGTGATGTGACCACTGCACTGTAAATAAACCAAAGACAAGATGTTGAACACGCAAGATGCAAAAGTAAGGTGACTGCAATAAATTCGTTGTATTTGTAGAGTTTCTCTCCATCGCCATGGAAAACGCTACCTTAGGCAAATCGATGCATCGACTTGTTAAGCTGGGGGAGGGCCAGTAGGAGTCGGCGGAGAAAGCCAGGGGAAAGGGGATGGAGAATGAAGCATTTGAAGTGAGAACGACTTGAACTTAAGGTGAGGTAGGTGCTTCAGTGCACAGGCTTAAATTAAGACCCGTCTCACCGGGATTCATCCCAGTCCCATGTCCCCGTCCCCCAGCCGCCGGTTCTTCCACCTCGAGTGACATCTGCCACGCGTCAACCAAACCTCGTGTTGCTGTCCCCAAAGGTTACCTGGAAGTTAGCTACCTTGGTACCGTACGGAGTAGACGCAGAAGCCTCTCGACCGGCAACGCTAGTAAACCTAAGGTGGAGCGTAAGGCAGGTGGTACCTGCTGGAAAATGTGCCGGGAGGGGCGATGGGGACCTAGATATGCTATGGATGTAAATCCTACCCCGCTGTCCACCATCATCCATTTTGCCTATATGCCTACTTACCTGCCCATCATACTCCAAATTTTCCGTCTCTTTATCCTGTAAAGTAGGTGGTTTAATAGGATGGAAGGTGAGGTGCGTAGCTTGGCCAGAATTAAGGTGATGTGCGTCAAGTGCCCGGGCTCGGCCCCACCTGCTCCGTATAGCAGCCACAACCCCGGCCGACATGGTTCCCTTGTGCTAAGCTCTGAGGCGACGACGTTTTGGGGTGCGGAAATGGTGCTTTTGATCTGCCAGGAGCATTTGATGGTCATCTGAACGCGTGGTCTGGCCTACATCGCTCATTCAACTCTCTTTCGCCTAGAGAAGAACCTCCATAATTTTGTGGGCAAACCCTGTGCATCGGATCGAAAGCTAATCAAAGGGGATGAAGAAATCCAATTATTTGCATCGACCGAAACGAAGTGGACCAAAGATTCAACCTGGTACCTTAATCCAGACGTCTCCCTATGTTTGTATCTTCCCCCCATGGCATGCTTAGGTCATGATGGCAGAGGCCATTGCAGGCTTCTCCTTAGCAATATCCCCTACTTCGCCCGTCGTATCTAGCTCAAAGCCCTGAGCAATATTCGTTCCTATGATCACGCCATCGGCATGACCAATACCGTCAAAGATCTCATCAATTTCCTCCAGAGTTCTGCCCTTTGTGTCAACGAACAACCATATCGCAGTAGCCAAGATTGCAACGTTCCACCCGCCGTTAATGGCAAAGTAGCGCCAGCCAATCTTCTCCATAACCATCGGCGCCGTGTAGAGATTGAGAAAGCTGAAAGCATAGCCAATTGCCTGAGAAATTGCCACTCCCTTAGACCGCTGTGAGTATTTCAAGATCTCGGGTGGATATGTGTAAGCAAGGAGCATCCTCCGACCGTGTTAGTTTGATCTACATCGTCTTCGAGGCTACAACGAGGCTTACCAGCTGAAAGACACGGCCAGAAGAAATAAGCTCACAACAGCGATGGCACCGATGGCATATCTGTGGTCGTCGGGGTACTGGTCTGCAAGGTACGAAAGGCCGGAAAGAATAGCAAAGAGGACGACGGTGGCAGCTGTGCCAAAGACTGGGTATGTTCTGTGAATCGTGTGCGTCACGCGGATCAATGTAGCAAAACTTACTAAGAGCCTTACGAGTGCCGATCTTGTCGATGACGAAGACGCCTGCAAGGCTGCAAAAAGCGTTCCATAACAGTAGGCCCATATTCACCTGGATGATGGTACCGTAGTCTTCAATTCCAAGTCCGGCAATAAGGAAGGATGAGAAGTATCTGAGCGGACATAAGTCGGTGGCAGCTCGCGCATCATTGGAAGGATGTATGGACTTACAGGATGACATTTGCTCCTATAATTTGATAGCAAATATTGACCAGCACGGCGATGATGAATCTTTTCAGGTTGGAAGCTTTCATTCGATGTTAGACGTCTGAGACCTGGATAGAGGAACAAGGGTCCACTTTACCAGGCGAGATGAGGTCTTTCCAGCCACCGTTGTGTTGCTCTTCATGTTCCAAAGTTCCCATGATCTCCTGAGTCTCTGCGATCACCAAGGGATGTTGGCGATCTCCGTTGGCATGCAGACGAGCGAGAATTTCGATGGCCTGAACAGCTTTCAATACAAGGGGTCGGCGTATATAAAGACGCGGCTACCTACTTCTTCAGTACGGCCCTTGTGAAAGAGCCATCGTGGGCTCTCGTCAACGAAGGGTAAGAGGCATAAAGCAAGGACCGATGGCACCGCTTCTCCCTTGATGCAACAAGTCAGCTACGGTCTGAGTCGTCATCATCGTCACTCACAAGTATGATTCCACGCCATGCCCAGTCCGACTGCTTACTCCATATCCCTAAAAAGATGCATGTAGTGAAAAATGCGGTAAATGGCGCGGAGACTAACACGGCGTTGGCCAGCATGGATCTATATCTGGGCGCTCCCAGCTCCATAATCCACATGGGAGGCACAGAACCGTTGATCAAAGTAGCAAAGCCGATGAGAAAGCGACCGCAGACGAGCTGTGCGACTGGGGAACATGTGTGTAAGCGAAGGTTCTGGTGAGAGAGGCCGGCGTGGCGCACTCACCTTTAGTTGCGGATGCTTCTAATATGACGCCTACGATGATGCTCATAGCGCCTAGCCCAAGACCAGCCTTGCGTCCCCAGCGATCAGCAAGGTAGCCAACAACGGGAGCGCCGATGATGCATCCGGCGCTGATGATGGCAGCATTGAGACCGTCCATATCACTATTGAGTTCAAAATCTGTTTCAGTTTGTCAGCTAAGGTATCTCATTTCATACTAGATATCATGTTAGTCAACCCACGTTGTCGGTACGGCACGACGGCGTTCAGGTTGTTGATCATGGCGGCATCGTAGGAGATAATGCAAATGCTGAAGATGGCCTCGCAAAAGATCAGCGCATGTGAAAGAGTACTGCCTAGCTTCAGCGAAGCCATGATGGCGTCGCGTGTTGCAGATGACCGTGTCTCATCGATTTCGATAAAAGGTTTCGATTAAATCACAGACAGTGCTTGGGTTTCCAAAGATGTGGCAAGTGTAGATAGCCTCAACTAATGTGGCATGGAAGCGACACCCAAGATGGGCTTATCTTATAGTCATAGCTTCGACGGCTTGGGAGTAGAGCACGACTTGCCTCGTTACGAACCCCTCTCCATTCAGCTAGATAAGCATAGCGTACGGCAGAGCCTGGAATTAATGTCCAGGGTTAGGGAGATAAAGCCGTAGCTAGGCCCGAGTTATCGTAGCTTTATGAGTGGCTTTCCCCAAGAAAACAAGTAAATCTAACCAAACACCTGGCAGCTTAACAGCTAGAGAGAAGCCTACGGTCCAGCTTCAGCCAATCAAGGAACCGTGATTGACGTTTATTATATTCTATCGGTGTATTTCCCCGGATTTCCCGAACTTCCTTAACCTACCGAGGCGTTGGAGTCGGCCGAGCACTGTCAACTATCCATGAGTTTCGCTCTATGCCGGGCTTTGCTATCATACTCATCTTCGGCAGACTGTCACTGATTGATCGGATTGAATAATGATAATACACGATAGGACGACTATGAAGTGCATCAGCTCCAAATCCTTGAGGCAGAAGCATTGGGGGTGTCTGATATCGAATGCCTGATGGCAGAAAACTGTATTTCATTAAAGAAGCATGAGTTTGGTCTGTAACACTCTGACCAATGAAGATCCTATCCAGATCAAGAACGTCACATGTCCTGTTCTAGCCTAAGCTATCTCGGATTCTAATGGCTGGTTGTAGTCAGGAGAGATAACGACAATATCAATGCCAACATGGCAGATTGATAATAACTTGAAATGCGTGAAGGCAGCCTGATCAGTCTAACTACGAGCTCCAGGCGTACCTGACTACAAAGTGGTGTGGCCGATTCCTTACATTAGTAAAGACAGGATTCGGGCCGGTATGCGGGCGTTGGGTCCGGGGCCGAGTTCTGTCTCGCAGTAGGTCTGGAAAGATTCAGTTAGCAAGTATTCGATAATTCATTTCAATGAACCAGGTCATAACATTGTCAAAATCAAATTCAGTTCGGTCCTCATGGTTGATTGAGTTGCTTGCAAAGAATGCTGTATATGCCAAGAAACAACCCCCCCCCCCCCCCCACACCTCGTTACTGTACTGGAAAGTTCGCCCGGAAACACTACTTGCGTATCTACTGGAAGTTCTCTATCGCCACGTTGCTATTGACTTCGTATTTGCGCAGCTCGTCTTCGGCTTTCAAAGCTGCAGCTTGAATGATACTCTTAGTAGTACTAGTCCGGGGCTTAAACTCCACCGTGAATGGCAATGGCCTTGGGGCTGGGCTATCATTGAATGCGAAAATATCCAGCTCCTTCGAATTTCCCTGCATTGAGTCAAATCATCAGCAATTGATCAATTAGCGCATTGCGGCGAATCCACAGCTGGCTCACATGTTCATCGGTAGATCGCATTCTGAATGACCAAAGTAATTCCACGATGGTGAACCAAATGCCTTGTTCAGCAAGGGGTTGCCCGCTACAAAGGCGCCGGCCCCAACCAAAGGTGAAGATGCCCTTTTTGCTAGGATTAGGCTGTCGCTCTTCCAAGAACCTCTCAGGTCGTACCTCATCGGGGGAAGGATAGTCTCGTGGGTTGCGATGGATGGCCCAAAGGTTTCCAATGATCGAAGTACCTCTGGGAATAAACATGCCCTTATAGGAATCGTCGCGAACAGGTGCATGAGGAGGACCTCCAAGTGCAATCGCGGCTCGCCAGCGGAATATTTCCGTAAGAAGCGCGTTGCAGTATGGAAGAGAGTCCTCATCTGCCCAAGTAGGGGGTTCGCCTGCTAGGACACGATCAATTTCCTCCTGCGCCTTCTGCTGAACGCGCGGGAAGGCACACATGGCAAAGATGAAGACGATAATAGTGGTCGTCGTGGTATCTACGCCACCTCCGATCAAATTACCTGTTAGACTGGCAATTTCTTTGGGAGATAAGTTGTTGTTTTTCTCCTGGTCATGGATGAGACGCTTGGAGAAGCTATCCTGTTCAAGTTGTGCCCCTTCGACAGTGAGGGCATAGAAGTATTTCAACAACTTTTGCCCCTCGTCCCATATCATGGAAGGCAATGGGTAGATCCGTTTAGGAAGCTTGCTGATCCATGGATAAGCTTCGACTAAATATTGAGCCGGTGCGGAAAAGCCAGCTCCTGTCTGCACGAATGACAACGCAAGCTTAGCAAGATCGTCATCCATCGATCGAACTCGACGGCCCCATCCGATTATGGCGGCAACTGAGCATGCGTATCGCTCAATAGCCGAGACAAACTGCTGGGTCTCCATGATATCACGAGCCAATATCTTGGACTCATTGGCCTGGAATGTTCGGTATCCCCGAACGGCTTGGCCGCCAACTACGGTATGCTGAAAAGTCGTCAATAAGAGGACACCGCAGGTAGCAACAACATCGCAATAGGCAACTGACTGTGATACGTCGATGTAAGCGCCATTTATCTCCGTATACGAGGCTGGTCTGATTGTTTTCTGTTTCGTCAAATGCATCGGCTAGGTAGGAATGTGGACGCGACGAATAAATTTGGGCTCGTTTGTCCATTAAGTCCGACGCTGCCCAACAATCGTTTACAACGACCGTAGGACGATTTCCCGTCCAGATAGTGATCAGAGGGCTATCGTATTCCTGTGACCATTTTTCAAAGATGAGATAAGGCTTCGCTGCGGGCACACGTCCGATGTTTCCAACGATGGGATATGGGAACGGGCCGGGTGGCATGCGAGACCTCAAGTACAACACACGACCATAAGAAACAAGAACCCATAACAGGAAAACGATGATGGGCCCTGACAGTGAAAGAGCCACCAGACGCAAAGGGCTGTCCCAGTCTGCTGGAAGATAATTCAAGGGGGACATTGTTTGAAGTATTGGAATAAGTCGACAATAGCCTCTTGCCGCTCGGCGTAATCGTTTTCGAACCTTTGAACGCAATTGAGGTGAGCCTCGCTGTCTTATTTCTGCACTTCACTTCCTCTTGATGAAGTACAAACAGGTCAAAATCTCCATGGCAGACGAATATCAACCTCTGGATCGGCCGAGGATTCCGCTGTCCCGGGGTGGCTTCTTATCTGGCTCGGCCGAGACTCCCGTTGCAGTTTGATAACGATCAGTTGGAGGTCCCTGACCGAAGCCACACGTTTCCATCTCGATCCAAGTGACATCTGCTACGCGCTCGCCACACCTCGTTTTGCTGCCACCAAGCCCCCGGCAGGATCCTCTTGTAAGGTACGTAGCATCTTTCTATCGCTTCAGGCCTGGCAAAGCTAGTAAACTTGCAGAGTAGGGCAGGCGGTACCTGCTGGGAAATGTGTCGGGAGGGGCGATGGGGGGACCTAGATACCGGTATGCTATGTAAATCCTACCCCGCTCCCCACTGTCGTCCAATTTGCCTTTGTGCCTGCCTACCTTACCTGCCCATCAGACTCCAGGTCTTCCCTCTCTTTATCGTATATATAATTTGAATATGCGTTTCATGCAATTCACATGGCTGATAGATTGCGTGACTACCTGCCTGTTCACTCTTGAGTCGAGCTGCATTGTGGCTGCAGACAATGCCGAGAGTCCAGACGACACGCTGCGCTCCCGCCTTACAGCGTCCGTTGTCATTAGGTTTGGGGGCCAGAACTGTAAATTGGATCCATGTGCTGTCGCCAAGTGGGAACGATGTGGGGAGAAAGTCCTCTGCATGGGATGCTTACTTGTACACAGTAGAAGGTAGAAGGGAGGAGGGCAGCAGCCATCATCTGAACCCAACCTTCCCTCGTCTCTTCTCCTTTCCGCTTCATCCAATGCGCTTTCCCTTCAACCTCGTCGATGTCGATGGCTCGCTCCAACTTGTCTGTTCATCACTTCTCACCTCTTCGTACCGCCCTTAGTTCCAATATTTCCCTCTTCCTCTCCACACATCCCTCTCGCCGATGCCCACGCCGATGTGCATCATGCATCGGATTTGAACGCCTTACTCAACCCACTCTTTTCTCCCGCTCAACCCCTGTACCCGGCCCGGCGTCGTCTTGTGCATGGCGACTGGGAGCCAGTTCCGGGTCCTCGCTTTGGTCGAGGTCTGGGCAACTGTGCCGCTCCCGAGCCGTCCATCATCATCATCATCATCACGCCAGCCATCTTTCACGACCATCGCGGGGCTCCTACCGACAGCTGTGCCGCTCTGTTGCCAGGGAAGTCCTTTGCCCGGAGACCTTGCTCTGGAGAAGGATGGGCACCCATGGCATCGGCTTGCCAGCTGGCTTACTTTCCAGAAGATCTGACGCACCTGACCATTGGAAATTCCCTCAATACCAAAGTTCCCCAGATTCAATTGCCTATTCCCTGTTCTGCAAGTCGTTGGCTATTTTTTGGCAATGGCGTACGAAAAGAAATATTGACTGCGCAAGTGCCCGCAGAAGAGACACAGTCGAAGCCACTGACCCCGCGCCCTCGACTCCTCGTCAACCGTCAACACAAAATGGCGGGGCATGCGACAACAATGTGAAGTAGCCAACTTCTTGCTGACCGTCAGCTCTCACCCATATTCCATGGCGCCACCCCGACGCGGCTTATTCGCACAGCTTCCAAGAGGCTGGAGGCTTTGCCGCATGCACCGTCTGATCCGTTTGTCATAGCTTCGATTCTCGATTATCGATGCTCAATGCTCTTGAGCCGCTCCTTGTCAGTCACCCCAGCCGACACGCGACTAACATACCTGAGCCATTATGGCGTGCTTTACTTATCAGATAGCCTCTCCATCCACTCTAAAGTCGCCGGCGTCTTGCACCAGCAAGTGTCTGCCCTCCCGGGGCCATGTTCCGGGGCTATCCGTATTAGTTGTTGCTATTCCTGATAGAAACCAACACTTCAGACTTCAGTCTAGGGCGGCTCGTCCTAACTGGG